TGGAAAATATTGCACTTATGAACTATATTTATCAAAATACTAAAACATGTGTGTGTGTATAAATTGAAGTGGTCCACTTGTGAGTTCTGCGAAATGTAGGTCACATCAGAATCAGACTTCGCAGACATAACAAAAAATGGAGCAGTTTTTGTACAAACGAGTTACTTAAATGAGAAGATGATCTGTGCGAAGTCACTAGCATCACTTTTTAACAAGCGGATATGATTTTTTTTTAAAAATAATTTTTAGCTTTTACTTTCAGAAAATAATTCATTTTTGAAGTAATAAGGAAACTAAATTATGATTATAAAATTTTGTCTGTTTAATATAATATAGTTTTATATTTCAATATAGTTTTTTATATTTCAATATATTGAAAAGAATGTTGAATAATGAAAAATAATTATAACAATCACAATTTTAAAATATTAACCTTTTACGAGTAAAACTTTGCGCCATCTCTATAAAGCAAAACTATGTTCCAATAATATCTCCATGGGTCATGGAAAATCTTTGAAAATCAGTATGAACGTCTTTAATATAAAATAAGAAGGGATGAGACATTTGACCCCATAAGAATTTCAGTTTTCTTTTCAGTACATATTTGATACCCGAAGATAATATAAAGCTGTGTAATAATAGTGAAACGCTATAATGACTCGTGGGGGGTAGTATTTTAAATGCCAATGATTTTATGTGTCCCTTGGGGAATCTAGGCGTTTGGCAGGGACTATATTAGACCCTTCAAAACTTTCAACACCTTCAGTCGACAGCGATCTTTACAAAAACAACGAGCTAAAGTGACAATTTTTCAATTTAACATATCAGTTATCATCTTAAATAAAATATTCTTAAATATAAAACAATATTCTATTTAATCATCAAAATTGTTTTTACTCAATTAATTTTCATTTATTTCAAAAGAATTCACTATCATTCAATATTAAATTTAAAAAAATTAAGAATTTTTCAAGCAAAAGTGGGCAAAGCATTTTTGAAACTTTGCTTGAGAAAAATTTTTTATTTCGGTGAATTTCATCTATTTTATTATACACGTGATAGTAAAAAAGTGATAATGAAAATATTGATAAAAATAAAGAGAAAAAAAAATCTCTTATGAATAGAATGAATCCTTGTGAAATTGATTTGCAGTGAAGAGCAGCGCATATAGTGAAAGTAGCCTTCGAAATTGGAAGCACAGCATTCGAATCAGGAATCACTAGCTAAAAGAGTCGATATTGGATACTATAAACTATCTTTTCAATCTCTGCTCATAAAAAAATCAAGGTTACCTAGATTTTTGAAACTCTTGTGTCCTTCTTCGATCTTTTTATTTTCTCTCTAAAAGAAAATAAAAAACACACACATCTTTTCATTCGATTCTTCTTTAAAGACTTTTTATGTAAAGAGATGATCGCCATGGACAGCAACAACTACCGTAAATATTGTACGTAATTTTCCTGTCTTACCTTATTTGCCCTTTTATTAATTAGGTCCTAATTTGATATCGTTTAGGTTAGGTTCTGAATTTTTTTGCGATTCGATTCTAATCCGGTAATATTTAAATAATAATAATTGAATAATCATATTTTTTATATCTTTGAAGTATATCAATGATACTGAGGACTTTAAACTTTACTGCATATAAGCGTCGTTAGCTTAGTGGTTAGAACGTTAGCCTACAAATCCGTAGGTCGTAGGTTCGATTCCCCTCATGCGCAATTTAATTTATTTTCCTACTTTTGCGTTATTTCCATTGATTTTAATTGTACCAAAACTTGTAAATCTATTACATACGCACTTATTATTGTAATGGCCTCGCCTATTATTTAATTCAGAAAAAAGTCAGGGATTTTTATTAAAAGTACGGGAAAAAATTAAATTTTTAGAATTCATGACAATATTCTGAATTTTGGTGTCTTTTTTTGTTTACCTCATAAACTATGAAATTATCACGAATTATAATATAAAACATTCATGAAATTCAATTTTGAATGAAATAAATTAAAAATTTTAAAGAACTTAGATTTTTGAAAAATTTTTAAAATGCAAATTCTTCTGAAATTAGTTAAATTCTTTAACGTATATTTAATTAATTATTAAAAATAATGAATTTATAGAAGAATTTTAGTTAAAAACATTTAAAAAAATTTAATTTTGAAGAAGTTACAAATGAAATTCAATTTTTTTCAAAAGTAATAAAATTCTTCTGAAAAATTCAATTATGTTCAAAAATTAAAAAAAAAAAATTCTCGTCAAAATTTCAATTATTTTTAGAAATAATCAAATTCTTCTCTGAAATTCAATGATTTTCAATATTTATTTTAATAAAAATTTTCAAAAGAATTGAATTATTTAAAAGAAAAATTTAATAAAATTCTACTGAAAACCTTTAATAATTTTCAAGAATAATAAAAATTTCATAGGAATTCATTCAATAAATTTTTTATAAATTTCTTCACAATAATACAATTATTTTCATAAATATAATTAAATTCTTTACAGCAATTCAATTATTTCCATAAATATAATTAAAATTCTTTTAAGGAATTCAATATTATTTTCAAAAACAATAAAACTCATCGCAGAATTTCAATTATTTTTTTATCCAATTTTAACAGAATTCAAACTTTAAAAAAATTCAATTATTAATTAATTATTCTTGTTTATTAATTTCAAAAATTTTAATAAAATTCTTTGCAAGTATTCAATTATTTTCATAAATAATAACATTCATCGTAAGGATTCAATTATTTTTAAAAGAATTAACGTATTTTACAAAAATTCAATTACTTTCAAAAAAATTTCACGAAAGAATTCAATTTTTTTTTAAATTCTTTACAAAAATTTTAATATTTTCAAAAAATTTTCATGAAAGAATTCAATTATTTTCTAAACTTTAAATAAATTCTTCGAAACAATTCAATTATATTTATAAATAATAAAATTCTTTGTGAAAATTCAATTATTATCAAAAAAAAATTTCATGAGAGATTTCAATTTTTTAAAATTCGTTACAAAATTCAATTACTTAAAAAAAAATAACATGAAAGTAATTAATTTTTTCTTATCTTTATAAAAAATTTCGATAGAATTCAATTATTTTCTAAAATTTTAATAAATCCTTTAAATCAATTTAATTATATTTATAAATAAATAATAAATTCCTTTCCAAAAATTCAAATATTTTCAAAAAATTTTTACGAAAGAATTCAATTTTTCTTAATTGGTTATAAAATAATTCAACAGAATTCAATTGTTTTCTAAAATTTTAATAAAATTCGTTATGTAATTAAATGTTTAATTTCAATTATTAACAAATACGATTTTTTGAAAACTTGAAAGAAATGTATTTAAATAATTGAATTCTCGTAGAATTTTCTAATAACAATTGATTTAAAAATGAATTGCAATTAAAATTTTAGATCATAATTGAATATTAAAAGCACTTTAGTATGTAAAATTTTAGAAATAATTGAATTTTGATAAGGTTTTAAATTAAAATCTTTAAACATTTGATATTTTCGTACTTTTAACTTTTTTTTTTTTTTTAATTCTGTAGAATTAATTTTTTTTTAAATATTTTTTCACAAATAAAATTTTTATTATAAAACATGAAGAAATCGATTTCTTCATGTTTTATAACAATTGTTTATTAGTTTAATTTCCAAAAAGTTTGATTTTGAAATTATTGAAAATCTTAATTATGGAAAAATAATAATTAAATATTTATGTAAACAAGAAATTATTGTTTTCGAATAATTTTACAATTAAAGAAATTCGTAAATAAATATAACAGAACATTCTTTTTTCATGAGTAAAATTTTTTCCATTATTTTCTAAAAAAAATTGAAAATTTTTCAAATTCATTTTCAATTTTTTTTTTTTTTTGATTAAAAATTTGTAATTAACAAATAGAAGTTATAAACATTTTTTTTTCCTTTATTTAAAAAAAAAACATTGTATTTTATTAAAACAATAAAATTGTATATTTAAGAAATGGAAATGATTCGTCGGAAGTCGGAATGGATATTCTTTTCCTTGACGAGGAAGAATAAAAAGTTGCATAAAATTATAAAATTATTAATTATTATTCATTTTTAAAAAGTTTTTTTTTTCCTCAAAATAATGTTCAAGTGCATAAAATCAATTTCGATAAGGGTCATAAAAATTATTTTTATTCATTTTTTATTTATTCATTCGATTCCAAAATTATTAATGTCTCTTCTTTCGAGAAGAAAACTACAGATTTTTATTAAAAATAAAAAAATCGTAAAAATCTATCAAGGCCTCGATTTTATTATGTATCTGAATTTTTTTAGATTTATGTTAAAAAGTCCTTATATATATATTTATATGGGGAATTAGACTGGACTTTAATCTCAAAAAACCCGTCGATTCATATATATATATATTCTTAAGCATCGCGTATAATGCAATAAGCGATGGTACAGACCTTGATGCGCTTATCTAAACCAGAGGTAATAAATTGATGCAGTCAATCTCGTAAGCGGTCGTTTTTCTTGAATTTTATTTCTCCTTTTTTTTCAAGGAAGAAATCTTTCGACTTTTAATTCTATGTATATATAGAAATAGACGTCTAATATATATTATTAATCAGTGAAAGAATGATTGTATTCATTTTTATTTTGAAAAAATTCTGAGAAAATTATTTCTTTTTTAATTTCATTCAACTTGGATAATTAACATTCAAGCGGGTCATTAAAAAATATTACTCAATATATATGTACATTTAACTTCACTTTCGTTTTCGTCAAAACTTTATAAGACAGCCTTCGAATTAAATAAACAAGAATATCGAAAATTTGTTTAATGTAAATTATTATCCTTTTTTTCATAGATTCTTCCTTCATCATTTATGATTTGTAGAGCTTTAAATTAATTCACAAACATAAACAATTGAGATTTTAATTACAATGAGAATTAATTCGATTATAAAAAGAAAATTTTTTTTTAATTTTTAATTTTTTTTATTTCAGGGCAACTGCATTCGCCGAATGGCGATAGCGACAACAGCAACGGAAGTCAACGTGCTATTGTAGTGCCTCGTGCTGAAATAGAGCAACAACATCGCCAAAGACAACAGAGACAAGTTTCTGTACCAGAGAGCGTTCCTGCATTAGTTTCGACAAATCATTCTTCATCGACAACAACCACCACCGCTTTCACCGTTGCGTCAAGCATGCTTCTTTTGCAGACACAGGTAAAATTATCATTTTTTTTTACCATTTTCAGTCAAATTTTTAAAAATACGTCCGCCATATTGAATTCGCCATTTTGAATTTTGAAGATTTAACGTCGGATTCGTAATCAGCGACCTCAAAAACCCAAAGAGACTATTTTCAGTCAAATTTGATGAATTTGACTGAAAATTCGTCCGCCATTTTGAATTTTGAAAATTTAACATCAAATTCGTAATCAGCGAACCCGAAAACCCCTAGGAAACCATTTTCAGCCAAATTCAATGATTTTTTTTTTGTAAATTCGTCCGCCATATTGAATTCGCCATTTTTAATTTTGAAGATTTAACGTCGGATTCTTAATCAGCGACCTCAAAAACCCAAAAAAACCAATTGCCAGTTAAAAGTATAGAAAATTCAAAATTCAAATATTTTATTATTTGAAACCTTTTCAAAATTATTCAATTATTTAAATACAAAAATAAATAATTTATTGAATAAATGTTTTTTTTGTAAATTTAATTTTAACTAATTCTTTTGACGAATTTTAATTAAATTTTTAAGAATAATTACATTTATCTAGAAATTCGATTAAAATTGTACTAAAAATTAATTAAAATTCTTTGATGAGCTTTATTGTTTATGAAAATAATTGAATTTACAAAACAAATTTATTATTTATACATAAAAATAATTGAATTTACGAAAAAAAAATTTTCATTTATCAAATTAATTGAATTGTTGCGAAGAAATTTATAAAACAATTTATTAATAATTGAATTCCTGTGAAATTTTTATTATTAATGAAAATAATTAAATGTTTGAGTACAATTTTATTAAAAATTTTTTTAAATTTTGAAGATGAAGTTTGTTATTTATAAAGATAATTGTCATTTTGACGAGAAGTTTTAAAATAAAAAATTAATTTCAAAATTCAATTATTTCTAAAAATTCATGAAATATTTCTTTTAATATTCAAATTATTATCTAAAATTTTAACTGAAATTAATTTTTAAATAAATTTTTATTAGAAAATTCTACTAGAATTCAATAATTTTTTAAATACAATAATAAATAATTTATTCAATAATTGAATGTTTCTTCATTTATTTTTAATTATGTAATTTATGTAACTTTTCCAAAATTCAATTTTTAAATGTTTTTAACTAAAATTTTTCTATAAATCCATTATTTTTAATTGTTTTTGAAAAACTTCTCTAAGAATTTTCAAATTTATTTTTTTTAACAGAAAGTCATTTTTAAATCATTTTTTATTAAAAAATTTTACTAGAATTCAATAATTATTTAAATAAAAAAAACTAATTTATTGAATATTTAAATGTTTCGTAAAATTAAATTCTCATAAAGAATTTAATCAACAAATTTAAAAAAAAAATTGAATTCTTTTGACGAATTTTAATAAAATTTTTAAGAATAATTACATTTTTCTAGGAATTCAATAAAAATTTTATTATAAAAATAATTGAAATTCTGCAATGAGTTTTATTATTTACGAAAAAAAATTGATTTTCTAAAAAGAATTTTATTATGTACTTAAATAATTGAATCCCTGTGAAAATTTTATTATTTATGAAAATAATTGAATGATTGCGAAGAAATTTATAAAAAAAATTGATTAATAATTGAATTTCTGTGAAATTTTTATTAAATTATAAAAATAATTAAAGGTTTTCGTAGAATTTTATTAAATTTTTTTTTAAATAATTGAATTCTTTTGAAAAATTTTATTATAATAGTAGATATTGAAAATCATTGAATTTTGAGGGAATTTTTTGAAAATAATTGAAATTTTGCCAAGAATTTTATTAAAGTTTTTGAGGAAAATAATTAAAATTTTGACGAGAATATTTAAAAATTTTTTAACACAGTTGAATTTCTGCGAAGAATTTTATTACTTTTGAAAATAATTGAATTTCTACAATCATTTGTAATTTCTCTAAAAATACCCAAATTATATCATACAATTTACTAACTTTTCGTCCTTTTTAAAATCAAATTACGGACTTTACGGATCTTTTTTCAAAAAAGTGACTTTTACGGACCTAAAGCAGATTTATGGACTTTTACGGGATTCACGGACCTAGTTCGGGTCCTGCGGTCCTACAAATCGAATCGACTTAGATAAAATTAATAATTATACTCTTTCACCATTACCGAACATATTTTTGTTCACACTTTATTTCTTAATATCTAAATGTCTGAAAGCATAGAGATTAGGGATACAAAAGTGAGTTTTCTGTTGAATGAGAAAGTGCAATAGTTTTACGCAATTTCGTATAAATTACAGATTACAGGTTTAAATATTATTCTAAGCTTTAATGATTGCTATGTATATACATTAATGATGAGCAAAGCCATTCTAGAGTATGACGCATTATTGCAGACATAATCCCTGAACAATGAAATATATTTTAATTTCTTTAAATAAATTTATTATACCGTTTGAGTGGTCTTATCGGATTTCGCTTTTTTTAAATTTTTCATGTAGAAAATAAAAGCAAGTACTTCATTTTAATTTGCAAATCCGTAAGAAAAGATTTCTTGGAAAATTGAGAAGATTCCGTTGTGATTCCCTACGAGTTCTAATATTTTATCTATTGGACAACTGATGGACTTGGATTAAAATTAAATCTGTTAAAATAGGTTTTATACAATTAATTTCAAATGTTGTTTCTTTGGCAATGAATAAAAGTGAGAAGGAAACATGTTTTGAATTCCTCTATGGTCCGTTATTGTGAATAAAAAAAGCACAAAACATGTACCAATTCTTAAAAGTTTTTTAAATGTCCCTATTCCATTGTCGAATCATGCAGCAACTATGCATATTCTAAACTTCGTGAGAAATAGATGGACGTAAATATTGGTTGTTGCGCAGTAAAGTTGCAATGTTTACTAACAATCGACTGATTGCAATAGAAAACAAGGCAACAATCCCGCGCCGGAATCCGCACTTTGTCTCGAGTCGTTATAGACTGCACCTCTCACCCTGAACATCGAATCTTGTATCTGTCTTTTTCTCTCACTTCTCGACATCCCAAGAATCGGTAATTCAGTATTTAATTCCTCTCAGGCTATTCCGCGAGTACGCGACATCTGCATACCAGCCTACGTACCCGGATTCTCGTGATGTCCTATAACCTGTTTCTTGCATTTTTTCCATATGTAATGCAATCACTAATTAAGTACAATGCGCATTCCATGCATACGCTTCCCATTCTCATATACATGGCTTGTAAACGAAAATTTAATCCCGACACAATGGGAAAATATTATACTTTCCTCATGAGGACGATCGATATGGGAATTTTCACAAGTATCTTCCATGTCGCGCCTCTTAATAGCCACGGTTCAGTAACTTTAGTCCAGGGATTCCCTGAGGAACGATCGGCAAAATGTCAACCAACAGCGGAACAACTGCCACAAATTGAATACTTCCCTCTTTACTCCTTGCTTTTTTCTTTTTATTTCTTCTCCATATACGAAGTCTCTTCTTATCTCATCGGGAAATTTATTAATTTTCGACTAAAGTGATTGCAAGACGATTTAGATATAATATACAAATCGAATTACAAACTAATAATGTAAAATTAAAATATATTTAAAATTGTTGCAGAGTCCATTTGGATGCAGTAGTTTTTCGGATTTACTGAGCGGTACTTACACAGACTCCACGGATGCTGGTAGTCTGCCGGAAGAGCTTGATCCTTTTCCGGAATTGCAATTAGGCAATCCACAGGACGTCACCAACTCCGAAGAAGCGTCCTCACAAAACCACCACTCAGTTCATTCTCAACCTCCACTTCCAGGAGACGTTCAAGCTGATTCACTCAGGTAATCATCCATACTTTTCTAAAATTATCATTAACCCTGCTTTTTATTTTCCCTTGAACTAAAAATCATTGGAGAAAATGAATTCAAATTAAGAAGCATCCTAGGAAGCCAAAAAGAATACAGTCTAGTTAGAAAAAACAAATTATATAATAATCAAGAATGTACGTTTGCAGTCCGACGCCACTTCCCAGCTTTCAAGAAACCTACACAGTACAAAGATATCGACAAGAATTGCAGAGTTTAGGTATCAAAATGGACGATGATTGTTATGGAGAAGGCGTCTATCCTTGTACAGGAGCTACGTTTGCGACGGATTTTACTCAGGCTATTCCCTACCAAAATCATCATAATCAACATCAGCCGCACCATCCGGCACAAAATCAACATCACCATCAACAGCAGCAGCAGCAGCAGCAGCATCATCCGCAACATCATCCACAGCAGACACACCTTCATCAACCACAACAAACACATCACCATCATCATTTGGGTTTTTTCTCCACGGAATCAGCACCTACACCAGCAGCAGTTCCAACCCCAAACAATCATCAGGAATCGCCTTACGCCTCAGTTCCCATTGTTTACGGACCTCCTCCAAGTGTCACCAGCAGTGGAGGCTCTCCGGGAGCTGTGACGCCAAGTGATCTTCGCACTGCTGTTGGAAGCACTGTCGTCATTCCTGGAACACCGCGTCCTCGACGTGCGTCCTTACCACCTCAAAGATCTGAATCATCAAGGTGAGTTATATTACTTCATAGTAATACTTGAACCAAAACGGCGAGCGTTGCACACTCACTCCCAGTCATCTAAGACAAAAGCAAACCTTAATTTAAGAATACAAATAAAAAAAACTTTTCACACAACTCTTCATTAAAAAAAACAATTTAAAAAAAACAAAAAAAATGGATGTTATAAAACAGATGTCTTTCGATTTTAGCAGTAGCGAATCACCCAAATTGAGATGCAGCGGAGCAAGTTCGACGACTGGTTCACCATCTCCTGGGGGCGAACGAGCACCACCGAGTCCGAGTCAGTTGTGTGCCGTTTGTGGTGATACTGCAGCTTGTCAACATTACGGAGTGCGAACATGCGAAGGCTGCAAGGGATTTTTTAAAAGGACAGTGCAGAAAGGCTCTAAATACGTTTGTCTTGCCGAAAAGGCATGCCCTGTTGATAAACGTCGACGAAATCGTTGTCAGTTTTGTCGCTTTCAAAAGTGCCTCATGGTCGGCATGGTCAAGGAGGTGAATATTTAAAAATTAGAAATTCTCAATTGAAAAGTATTTTCATTTATTCAATAATAGAAAAATTGAACGTTAAATTAATTGCACTTTGCATCCCAATGGGAAATTAACAGTTTTTTAAATTACTATATAGGTTGTAAGAACGGATTCTCTAAAAGGAAGACGGGGTCGACTGCCTTCGAAACCAAAATCTCCCCAGGAATCTCCACCCAGCCCTCCAGTATCCCTGATAACGGCTCTTGTTCGTGCCCACGTTGATACCACACCAGATCTCGCAAATCTCGACTTTTCTCAATGTCGCGAAATTTGCCCCGGCGAACCGCCACTCTCGGAAGCAGAGAAGACCCAACAATTCTACAATCTCCTAACATCCTCCGTCGATGTCATCAGAAACTTTGCTGACAAAATTCCCGGATTCATGGACCTAACACCAGAAGATCAGGTCAGTACCAAAAATGTATGTTTATAACTACTGATGTACAGAAGTTAAATATTGTGTCAAAATTAGTTGAATGTTGGTTTTATAACATATCCTAAATCATGAGGGGAATATAATTTCAACAGTTTTCGAATAATAATGGAACTAGGTAATATTGCCTGGTAAAAATTCGTTTCCCATGAATTCGATTATTAATCAAATAAAGCTATACATTGGAACGGTTAATCTACACACTATGAATTCGTTGATTTTTATAACCCGGTCTTGCATGCAAGGATCGATAGCTCGTGCATTTTCTAAAAGGTCACTCTTGACGAGCTTCGAACAGTTTCGACTTGACGACACCGACCATTCGCTCAATGAATTGGAATAGCATACTCGCTCCAAATGTAATTCACTTTTTCAAAGTCTTCCTCTCCAGTCACGAACACAATTTAATTCTCCATCTTATTAATAAATTCTACCGATATAAATTTATATTTGCTACGATTTTGCAAATTTTCGAACCTCTCAACTTCTTTCTGAGGAAGCTGGGATAAAAATATTAATCAATACAACAATTTTAAAAATCTTTTCAAATTCTACCGCTAAATGAATTTTTAAAAAAGTGTGGTGTCATTTTGAATTGAGGACCTTAAATAAAATTTTTCTTTATACGATCTATTAAGTTTTAAAGGCTTTTTGATGAACTTGAAAATAGTCGAACGTCTTATTAGATCCGAAATTTTTTATTTTATTATATTTGTAAGTAACTAATCCCTTAAAAGTCCGTAATCGGTTTACGGTGAGTCGATAATTTATTCCAGATGCCATCTACCAATGTTCGACTGTCACAAATGTATTGACGCTTAACAATGGTCGCTTTATGAGATCAGTTATTTAGTGTTACCCTACCGGCTACCTGCCTTCGTATGGTGCTAAGAGAAGCGGCTCCCCACTAAATAGGCGCTTTCCCCCACCCCTTGTCCATCTGCCCACCGCGCAAGTCTATCTTTTCCGATAGTGGGGGATCGCTTCTCCTAGCTTAGTAATCTTCATTTTGTAGGTCTAATTTAGTTTTTTATTTTCTATTTCACTTATTGTTTCATGTCTTTCATTGAAAGATCCTTTTCTTTCTTAGATTTAATTTCTAATTAAACTAATTTGTGATCCATTTGAAAAAAAATTTATAGAAAAGAAAAATGTACTATGAAAAGCAAAATAGTGTAACTGTGAAGCATGTAAATGTAAAGTTTTTGTTGTAAACCAAGTGTGAACAAAACGCACTTGAATTAGTAATTGTAAATCGTTTTCTGTATTTTTTTACAGAAATTCCTCTTCCTCAATGCCAGCCTGGAACTTTTTGTACTGAGGCTGGCGTACCGCACAAAAGTAGATGACACCCGACTGACATTTTGCAACGGAGTAGTCCTCACACGTGAGCAATGCGAACAAAGTTTCGGCGACTGGCTTCAAGGAATCATGGACTTTTGTCAAAGTCTTCATGTCCTCGACGTTGATATCAGCGCCTTTGCCTGCCTTTGCGCCCTCGCGCTCGTTACTGGTTAGTCAAAATCAATTTTAAATGCGAAACTTTTATTTTCTTTTTTTTCTATTTTCTCCAAAAGAAAAAAAAACTATAAATAACTATTCATAACATATATTATTATCCCCAATTCTTGAAATTTGTTTCTCGTTTTGTTAAAATATTCATCACATTTCGGCACTGATAGAGTATGTACAGACAGACACACACTTGCAATTCAGTTTCTCTCTCCATCTCTCTTTCTCCTTTTCTCGGACCGCTCGATAATTAATTGACCGTAGGTTATTTATTAAAGACGTGAATTACGAAACCGCAAACGTCCGACGGCAATTGCTTCAACACGCGATATCGATGCTTTCGTCAATTGAAGGATCCGTTGAGAATGAAATCTACAGAAAGAAAGTTATAATGGAGAAAAATGATGAATCTTACATGACTATGTAATCACCTTCATATGAATTTCAAAGCAATTCCGCACTCGCAAGCATAATACTTCTCGATCAAAATCTATATTGTCTTAAACTTTCTAATCAGAAAAATTTATATACAATTTTTATTTACAAAAAAGTAATTATATTTTACCATACCATACCAAACAAATTCTCAATTTCAAATTAAATCTTCAATCCTAACACCAGGGCCGAATTTATACAGAGGCAAACTAGCCAACTGCCTATGGGCTCCCCACCGAATAAAGTCCCCCACCATCTAAAATACTTTTTACAATAAGCGTAAAGAAAATTTAAAAAAAAAGTATTTTACATAATAATTGTAAGTGTTTAGAAATTTTGAGTAGCTCGCCTAATTCATATTATATAAAATATACTTTACTTAATATTTTAATCTTGGTAAATTTTTGAAAAACCCTTTGCTCACATGTGGCTCCCACCAGGGTTGCCTAGGACCTCCTATCAAGTAAATCCGGCCCTGCCTAACACGTACTTTTTGTTCAAATTAATAAATTAGTAGAAATTACTATTTATTATTCAAATTAACTATAATTCAAAATCAAAGAGTACTATAATTAAAATTTAGAGAATACTTGATAAAATATTTATTTAAAATAAATACTATTACTAAATTTTTACATTCGACGAAAAATTAAATACTCTTCAAAACACTTATAAGAAAAAAGTATTTCTTCTGAAATGCCAATACAAAAAACATGTATTAGAGTCAAAAAGTTCTTTTCTTCAGCTTTAAAATGAAAAAAAAAATCATTGAGTTTAGACCAAAAATGACTTTTCAAATAATTAAAATTTTGTAAAATCTTTTAAAATTTTTCTAATCATACTTTTTTTTAAATTTTCTAACTTTTATCAAAATTATGGAATTTTGCAAATTTTAGGAAAATAAATATTAGAAATCATAACTTTTTAGAAAAACTTTTTTTAAAAAACAGATTAAATTAAAAATTGCTTTTTTTAGACAAAAAGGATTAGAAAATATTTTTTACAAAAAGTAACCACCTACCGCACATTTTTCACATGCCAAAAATTTAGATCAACTTTTGATTTAATCCACATTTTTGGTAACAATTTGTTACGCGTAACAAATGCTAATTAATCCCCTTAGAAATTTTTTTAAACTCTTCCAGTTTTGTCCCACTATGGAATTATTCCAATTAGTTTGTATAGAACTAGTAATTATAGAATTTTGAAATTTTAACCCTCGAAAGTAACGAATTTCAAATAGTTAAATTGTATTTATTTCATTTACAGAAAGACATGGTCTTCGAGAACCACAGAAAGTAGAGCAACTTCAGATGAAGATAATTTCTTCCCTCCGAGATCACGTCACTTACAATGCAGAAGCTCAACGCAAAACTCACTATCTATCTCGACTACTCGGTAAACTTCCCGAACTTCGAAGTTTATCCGTGCAAGGACATCAGAGAATTTTCTACCTAAAATTATTGGACATCGTACATGCACCCTCATTCATTGAAGAAATGTTCATGGCCACCCTGCCTTTTTGAACACAAAGAGGAGCATAATTTTCATTAAAACAATATTAATCATTTTAATGATTCACTGAGTTTACTTCATCGCATTTTTTTTATAGAAAAAGAAAACATTTTTTTTTCTTTTTGGTTATCCTTTCGGCTAGCCTTGTCTTTATTGAACTTATTGCAAAAACGAAAGACATCCTAAATTATAAGTATAATGTAGTGAGAAAGAAAGAAAGAAAGAAAAGACCAAGAATGAATGAATCAAGATTGAATAGAATTTTAAAAGTGAAATTGAGAAAAAGAAGTGCTCTTCAAGAATGGTGCTTCGAGATCGATTAATATTTTTATTTATAAAAATAGGAAAAAAAAGTATATTAATATATACCATGAAAGTGCTTATGTTTAGATAAAAGATTATATATGTAACACGGTACTTAGTCCGTGTTTATAGTTAGGGATGTACCCGGATATCCGGGAGGCTGTTTTTTTTCTACATATAAACAAGTAATTTTTAGTAATTTCTCTTAAATCACAAGTTACCAGATTATTTTTTACGACTATCGCTTTTTGTTTCTTCGTTAGGAATTTAACAAAATAAAGAAGAATTCATAGATCGTAATAAGCAGCAAAGTCCCATTATGTATTTGTAATTTTTCACGCCGTGTTTTTTTTTTACTAATTTTAATAAATGTCGATTTTATAAATATAATGCTCGGCCGGATATTCATCCATCCCTAGCGATGATTCCACAGTAAATCGTGAGGTGTTAAAATAACACCAGAATGGATTAAAATAATCTCCAATAGTTTAATCCCTCTAAAATTAAATTAACACCAGAAAGGATTAAAATAATCAATTTTGGTGTTATTTTTTACTACGAATGAAATTTTACTTCAAATCAAAACCAAGCCAACGATTTGTCAAAGTCTTAGTCGAAGTTACAGTCAAAGTCTTAATCAAAATCTTAGTCCAGGTCTTAATCAAAGTCTTAGTCAAAATCTTATTCAAAATCTTAGTTAAAGTCTTAGTCTAAGAATAAGTCAATATCTTAGTCTAGGTCATAGTCTAGGCCTTAGTCTTAGTCTAGGTCTTAGTCTAGGTCATAGTCTTAATCTTAGTCTAAGTCTTAGTCTAGGACTTATTCTAGGCCTTAGTCTAAGTCTTAATCTAGATCATAGTCTAAATCTTAGTCAAGGTCCTAGTCTTAGTCTAGGCCTTAGTCTAAGTCATAGTCTAGATCATAGTCTAGATCTTAGTCTTGGTCAAGATCATAGTCTAGGTCTTATTCTTAGTCAAGGTCCTAGTCTTAGTCTAGGCCTTAGTCTAAGTCTTAGTCTAGATCATAGTCTAGATCTTAGTCTTAGTCTAGGTCATAGTCTTAATCTTAGTCTAAGTCTTAGTCTAAGTCTTAGTCTAAGTCTTAGTCTAAGTCTTAGTCTAAGTCTTAGTCTAGGTCCTAGTCATAGTCTAGGACTTAGTCTAGACCTTAGTCTTAGTCTAGATCATAGTCTAGATCTTAGTCTTAGTCTAGGTCTTAGTCTAGATCATAGTTTCAGTCTAGGCCTTAGTCTAAGTCTTAGTCGAGATCATAGTCTAGATCTTAGTCTTAGTCTAGGTCTTAGTCTAGGTCATAGTCTAAGTCTAAGACTAAAACTAAAACTATGACCTAGACTAAGACTAAGATCTAGACTATGACCTAGACTAAGACTAAGACCTAGACTAAGACTAAGATCTAGACTAAGACTTAGACTAAGATTAAGACGAAGACTACGACCTAGATTAAGACTAACCTCTAGACTATGACCTAGGCTAAGATATTGACTTAGACTTTAACAATGACATTGACTAAGACTTTACTCTAATTTCATTAATAGTAAAAAATAACACCAAAATGGATTATTTTAATCTTTTTTGGCATGAATTTAATCTGCAACGCTTTTTAATACCTCAAAATTTACTGTGTCCCTGTTTTCGGTTTAGCTGCGATTTTCTGGGTAAGAAAAGAAGAATCCGACTTGATTCCGTCTCTTTCCCACCCCAATAATGGTTTAAAGATAACAAATTCAAAAGAAGCCACAAAGTAAAAATACTCATTGTCTGAAATTATGCCGACTATTGATGTGAACTTTCGAAAATATGCAATCATTCCAAAAAATTAATTGACAATTGTCGGCATAGTTACAGAATTATTTCTGTAAGACAAATTCGACATATCAGAGTGGAGAAGTGATGATGGAATTTAGAAATTATCTCCTCTCCTCTCCCACCTTTTTCTAAATGTAGCCTACTACACGTGATTCTCGCACGTTTCGTCCACTGCGCACTTAGAAATCTGTAAATTTTTCCATTAATCGTGATGAAAAAAAAATGACAATTGGCGATACATAAAATTTGTAAAATGAAATATTTTTCATTCTAGTTTTCTACTGTATCACTAATCCGTAAAATAGAATTTAAGCCATGTGAGAAAAAAAGCCAACGTAGCGAACAAAAGAAAAAAATTTATAGAAAAATTTTTCTATATTTTTTTAAATCTTCCGAAGAACGAAAACATTTTTTGAAAATAAAGTCGAGCTTATCAGCAAAGTCGAGCACTTTCACACCGTGTGTGAGTTTGCGAGTCTTACTAATATATTTAAGACATAAATATATCCGTCGGCGGTCGTTAATTGCGTGCGAGAATCCTCAGATCGAATATGGTTAGAATTTATCGTCGACCATCTCGATTAGATACTCTTACGTTTATGTGATTTTAGACTGTTAAGATAAAAGAAGAAGAAGAAGAAAAAAAAAAAACCGATCTCGTCTTAGCAAATCGAACGAAGAAAAGGGAAAAAATGCAAAAATTATTAATAAACGATGAAAAAAGTGAATAAACGTTCGACTAGCTGAGACGATTCTGATATAAAGTTACCTATTATGTTTATGACATTATTTTTATTCAGACTAACGTAGAGAGAACCTATTTATACATATATCCAATATTCACTACTACAATGCTACTTATACAGTTACTGTAACTATGTCTATTGCGACATTTGTCGTTACTGTTATACTCATGCTGTTAATACTGCAACTACCGTCACAATACTGTTAATTGGATTGTTTCAAAGATTTTCTTCACTTCAAATCAGAGAGCCAGTAGGGTTGATTCGATTTTTTTCAATTATTTGACGTAAAATAATTTAACATAAATTCCATTTGACATCAATTTCATTAGACTTAAATGTCATTTAACATGAAATTTATGTGACAAATGTATGTCAAATGAATTTTATGAATAATTTGACATAAAATTAGTTTTAACAGACAACTCATCTGAAATAAAATTCATTTAACATTAAGTTTATTTGACATAAAATTTATTTAACATACAATTCATTTCACATAAAATTCATTTAACATTAAGTTCATTTGATATAAAATTTGTGTACAAAAAGTTGTATGTCAAATTTTATTATATGAATATTTTATGATATTTTATGATATTTACGAGAATTTTATGTCAAATTAAACATAAAATACATTTATTTTATGTTTAATTTGACATAAAATTCATTGGACACAAAAATTTCATTTGACATAAAAAACATTTAATTTGAAATTCATTTGACATAAAATTGATTTGACACATAAGTCATTTGACATAGAATTCATTTAACATTAATATCATGTGACATAAAATCACATAAAAATCACTTGACATAAAATTTCAAATGAATAAGTTTTATTTGACAGAAAATTCATTTGACGTCAAATTTGTGTATAACATTTATGTCATTTGACATAAAATACATTTGATATAAATTTTATTTTGACCGAAAATTCGTTTGTCATAGATTTCATTGGACATCAATTTTATGTCAAATTGAAATTTATGACAAAAGAAATTTAGATTAAATAATTTGTATGTCAAAAGGAAATTATGTAATATGTAAGTTGTGTTAAATGAATTTTATGATAATTAATATTTATGTCAAATTGGTTTTGTGTGCAATGAAATTTGTAACAAATAATGTTTATATTATATTCATTTAACATTAAATTCATTTGACATAAAATTTCTGAAACAAAAGTTGTATGTCAAATTGAAGTTTATGTTTAATTTAACATATAAATTCCATTTGAGACCATATTTAATGGCACACTTGAGACACTTGACATATAATGTATTTGATATAAATGATTTTAAAACAAAAAAATCCATTAAACATTAATTTCATTTCACATAAAGTTCATTTGACATAAAATTTATGCAACAAATTTATGTTAAATGCACTTTATATTTAATTTGACATAAAGTTTATGTAACAAATGTATGTTAAATGAACTTTATTTTTAATTTGACATAAAATTTATTATAAAGAAAGGTATTTGACATAAAATCTATTTTAACATACCGTTCATTTGACATAAAGTTTACTTAACAAATCTTCTATGTCAAATGATATTTTTCTTAAACGATATTTATGTCAAATGAAATTTATGTCAAATAAAATATATGTTAAATAAACTTTATGTCAAATGAAATGTATGTTAAATTAATTTCTTGTTATTTGGTGTTTAATTCTAGAATAAATTTTATGTCAAGTGGAATTTATACTTTTTTTCATTCAAAAAACGAAATTTAAAAAATATCGAAATATGGTCTTTAAAAAATTTGTCCCTAAGGGTGGATTGTATTATTTCATTTTCAACTTGTAAAATTAATATTTTTACTTTCACTTTGAAAAAAAAATTAAAATAAAAATAAAAATCTATCGAAATGAAAATAAAGGAGAAAATAAAAATCAGTAAAAGTAAAAATAAAAATAAAAGGTTAAATAAAAAGTAAAGATAAACATTTATCAAAGAGAAAATGAAAATAAAAATTTATAAATACAAATATGAAGGTTAAAAAGAAAGTCTTCCTTTTACGAACAAATGAACGCAAAAACTTAACAATTTTTTATTTATTTTTTTATTTTTTTTTATTAAGTTTATAAAAATGTTTTGTGTAAAAAAATAATGAAAATTAAAAAATAAGATCAATATTTCTGTTCTCATCGAAAATATCATAAATACCTACATATCAAAATGATTTTAAATTCCCACCTAAAAAAAAATTTTATATTAGAAAAAAATTAGTAGAACATTATATGTAAAGAAAATTTTTATAAATATTTTTCTTTTACATTTTTTTAATTTTATTTTTTATTTACATTTTTTTATTTGATTGTGTTATTTTTCAAATACAAGCTCTCTGATGGAAGTGCATGTTTTTCTATTTGAAACACTTCTAATAATTGTTGCAAAAAAAAAAACTTATACAGTTAATGATAAGAAAGAAAATGTCTTAAACGTAATCAGCACTCGATAGAGATTTTTCACAGTCAACATTCTACATGTTCTATGAGAAAACCCACTCCTTGGTAAAAAAAAAATAATAATTGAGTCAGTGATCTAGAAAAAAATGAATTTTTATTGTTTGATAATTAAATTTTCTTCAAAATTTCAGAAAAATTAAAATTTTTATTTAAATGAAAGGCGCGAAAAGGGCTATTTTCCTGTATATATAAAAATAGAGAAAATATTTTAATAGAAATATCTATATATATATTTTTGAATGTAACTAAAAAAAATTGCATGATATGTATATTACTATTATAAATCTGATTTAATATATTATATGCCAGGATTATTGCAGATAGACGAAAAAGAAGTCTTAAATTTAAATTATTTACTAGAGGAAATTTTTTTCATTTATTTCACTTTATTTTCTATTCTGACATTTTGAAAATATAGATAAATTTGCAGTAATTCTGTATATGTTATATGTATAAATATTCTATGTATAAATAATGGAAATTTAAATGACTATACTACCTCTTTAGTGTATAAGTCAATGTGCAATTACTAAATTATTAATTAATATGAAATTCGTGAATTTCTTAAATCTTATTGTAATTCTAAATGAGTGTTTTGAAATTTAATGTATAAA